AAAAAAAAAAGCCAGCCTCAGCACATTTCTGGAAACCGGGATCACCTAGAACACATGTTCTGACTACAGCATCCTCAGCAACAAAAGGAAGACTAGAGAAACTCCATATGCTTGACATTTGAAAAACTCCTGAATTCTTGAGTCAAAGAAGAAATTCTAATGAGAATCAAAACATTTAAAACCAACTAGTAAGGTAAATATTTTTATCCCAGAATTTGTGGGGCCCCTAAAGCAATAGTGAGGGGGGAACTGGTAGCTTTCACTGTTTACAGAGTAACGTGACACCGAAAGTGGAAGAAATGAAGTAAGGATAAGAACAGAAATGAGTGCATTAGAAAACAAACACACGGGACAGTCATCGCTGACTGAAAAGAGCAACAAATAGGTCTCTGGCAAGAATAATTAAAAAAAAAATTTTTTTTTCAACGTTTATTTATTTTTGGGACAGAGAGAGACAGAGCATGAGCGGGGGAGGGGCAGAGAAAGAGGGAGACACAGCATCGGAAGCAGGCTCCAGGCTCCGAGCCATCAGCCCAGAGCCCGACGCGGGGCTCGAACTCACGGACCGCGAGATCGTGACCTGGCTGAAGTCGGACGCTTAACCAACTGCGCCACCCAGGCGCCCCAAGAATAATTTTAAAAAATAAGGAGGAGGGGCGCCTGGGTGGCTCAGTCAGTTAAGCGTCTGACTCTTGATTTCGGCTCAGGTCATGATCTGTGGTTTGTGGGTTCAAACCCCACACTGGACGCTATGCTGACAATGCGGACCTGCTTGGGATTCCCATTCTCTCTCTCTCTCTCTGAGACCCTCCCTTGCTCAAGCTCACTCTCTAAAGAAATAAACTTAAAAAAAATTTTTTTTTTAAATAAGGAGGAGAGACGCAGACGGCGTTAGGAATGAAACAGGGGGCCATAACTGCCCACACTGCCAAGGTTTCACACGGAGTCAGAGGCTGTTTGGTCAGCTCTGTGCTTTCAATCTGAAAACTTAAAGTGGATACATTTAGAAGGAAAACTTAGCAGAGCTGACCGGGGATCAGTAGGGAATCCGTAAATAGGGGTAGTGCTATATCATCATTAAAGGCGTTGAGTCAGGACTTAGAAATCCTCCCCACCCCACAATCCCCCCCGGAGGGCTTTACTGGCAGATTGTAACACCACTCTGGAAACAATTCCACCTTTATACAAACTCCTTCAGAGGGTAGGAGAATAGGGCGTATCCTGCTATTTTATGAGACTAGCATAACCTTCGCATCAAAAGCAGACCGGACATACAGTGTGAGAACAGACCTGTCAGCCACTCCCGCTCAGGAACGCAGATGCAAAAAGCAGCTAATTGCGAAACCAACATGAAAAATATAAAGAATGGTAGAGTACATCAGGAGAAAGTTTGCAAGGACCCCGTCCTTAGAAAACGTGTAGATAGATGTACCATATCACAGACGAGAAGGGAAAAATCATGCTATCATCTTAATAGAGAGAAACTGGTAAAATTCATCAGCCATTCACTGTGAAAGTCTTAGCAAACTTAGAATAATGAGGAGCTTCCAGAGCCTGATTAAGGGCTTCTAGAAGGAAAGGAACCTATAAATGGGAAGTGCTACCATTTAATGTAAAACGTTGAAAATTGATCCTGTAAGAGCAAGACAGGGACACTGGCTGTCCACACTTGTGCTTTACGTTGACGCTGGTGGTCCCAACCAGCACAGTGAGGCGGGAAAAGGAAAGAAAAAGGGTAAAGGCTGGGAAGAATCAGGCCATCGTCACTTGCAAGGGATGTGCACACAGAATTAAAAAGGAAATGTGTACATAGAAAAAGACCTTTGAGGTGTAGGGAAGGCTTTCCTAGTCATCACAAAAAGCACAAATTACAAAAGAAAATACTGATAGGTTTCTCCCCATTAAACTTCAGAACATCTCTGTTCATCAAAAGATACCTTAAAGGGGCGCCTGGGTGGCTCAGTCGGTTGAGTGTCCGACTTCTGCTCAGGACACAATCTCGCGGTCCGTGAGTTCGAGCCCCGCGTCAGGCTCTGTGCTGACAGCTCGGAGCCTGGAGCCTGCTTTGGATTCTGTGTCTCCCTCTCTCTCTGCCCCTCCCCTGCTCATTCTCTGCCTCTCTGTCAAAAATAAACATTTAAAAAAAAAAAAAAAAAGATACCTTAAGGAGAGTGAAAAGAAAAGCCACAAATTGGGAGGTAACATTGATGGAACATTATGAACATTAATGCAGGCAACATTAATGAGATTATGGGGCAGTTCCCAGACCACCAGGACTTGTACCCACACAGCATAAGGCATGACTGTGGAGGCCACACGGGCATCACTCGGTGAAGGGGAAGGAGCTTCGACCGAGGGCCTCACACGTCTGAGCGCACTTGGGGATGAGAACCAAAGCAAAACCTAGCCAGTGCCTTCAGCGGACCAATCACATGTGGGCACCCCCCGCCCCGCCACGGAGCGGAATATTATACAACCATAAAAAGGAACACGTTTCCACTGCACATCAACACAGGTGAAATCTCCCAAATAAAATGTGGCGTGCGTGAATAGAGCAGGCCGTAGAGGATGTGTACATTTATATATAGGTAAGAAAGGCACAGCTGATCGATACGTTGTGTAAAGCTGCCTCTATGGGGTAGAGGGGGAAGTCGAAGGAAGGGCGAACACAAAATATTAGGTGCACTCTCTTTTACTCTTTTGAAAACCGGTTGTGACCCACTAAGTTGATTTGCCACTGACGGTTTGAAAACATTTTATTGACTAGGTACATAGGCATTTGCTTCTGATTCCTTTTCACATACACCTCTGTTTTATTCACCCTCTGTCAAAAGCAGAAACCACTCGAAGCAAGTGGGGACAGGATGCTGCCAGGGCCTGTGGTTGGAGCAGCAGATGGGCAGGGCTCGTTCCTTGGAGGAAGCCTGTGGACTCTGGGGGGACGGGCTTGAACTTAGCTCGGGAGGCTCCTCGTGAGACCGTGTATGGCGGGGACTTTGGAAAGGTTCGCGGTTTCCTGTCTGGTCCCTTCCCAGCAGGCCAGGCCCAGTGCACTCCCCGGGGTGGGCACCCCCGATGGCTGTCGGCCCTGGCCTTCAGCTCTGTCCAGCTTTGCTGGCGTGGGACAGCACCCTTTAGGTGACTCCCTGTCTTGACGTGGGGCCCAGCGTCCTCTCCTTTCTCTCCCCGGCCGCCCAGTGCTCTCCGAGGACGTATCTGAGCCTACCCTGCCTTTCCACAGGTGCCAAGCCAGCTGCCCCCGTCGACCCGTGGGGAGTGCCCACCGGAGCCAGCATACCCTCCGTCTCCAAGGGCTCGGACCCCTGGGCAGCCCCACAGCAGCAGGCCCCCAGTGCTGGGAAAACGGCCGACGCCTGGGCCGCAGCCTCGGCCGCCAAGCCCGTGTCGGCCACTGGTGAGACCTCCCTCTGCCCAGGCTCCGAGGGCCCCTTTGGGCCCCATGCCTTCCCCTCTTCTGGCTCCGTGGCGTGGGATCTGTGGGTTTGCCTGCATTTGCTGCTGCTACCTCGTCACCTGCAGCCTTTGTCCCCAGTCTCCCGATGCCACAAGCCCACCGTGAAGGGTGAGCTCACAGGTCTTCTGGGCACCGTGCCTCTCTCCAGAGGGAGCTTCCCGAGGGGGTCTGGGCAGGCTACCCTCTGGGCGCTCCTTCCAGTAGCTTCCTACAGGCTCTACCCGAGTCTCGAAACCTACCTCCGAAGTACCTCCACCCACGGTAGCGCCTCCTTCGGTTTGGGGTTGGGGCAGGTGGGAGCAGGTGCAGGCAGGCGCCCCCACACCGTGTCCTGGGAGGCCAGGATCCCCGGCCCGGCCCCCTTCCAGACCACCGGGTGACCCTGAGCCCCGTGCGATGGGGCAGACATCTCCCCTCCTGCTGCCAGCACACCCCTGCGTTGTAGACTGGACGGCAGAATCACGGGGTCACGTTGACGTGCCCACAGTCACCGGCCTCTTATGTTCACCCAGGGGCCTTTGATCTCTTCAGTAATTTGAATGGTACAATTAAAGATGACTTTTCTGAATTTGACAACCTCCGAACTTCAAAAAAAACAGGTATGTGAAAGATGGTAGTCGTTTCCATAACGTCTGTGCCTTTGACCAGCCCGGTTGTTGCAGAAATAATCGGCTTTCAAGACCTATCAACTTCCTGCATTTTGTTGTGTTTTGGTCTCGGGAGCTGTAAGTGGCCGATGGCAGGAATTCACACGTTGGCAGTGAAAAGTCATGCGGTTGGGTTTTTCTTTCACCCCGTCCTGGTGTCGGGCCTGGGTTTCCTGTCTCATTCACCTCTCTGCCTCGGCCCCGCCCCCAAACCCCAGAGGCTGCCTGCACGAGCCCCAGCCCAGCATGGGCCCCCGCTGCCCAGCCTGAGCCGCTCGCTCTGACCGTCTCCTTTCCTCCCGAGTCCCCACTCCCCAAGCTGCCCCTTTTGCAGACAGCCCGAGCTCTGGGCCTGGACACGGTGTCTCTGCCCGACTTCATCACCCCCGTTGTGGCTCCCACCCCGTGCCTGTCAGAGGCCCAGGCCCAGTGCCCCCAGGGCTGGCGGGGCATCAGGGTAGGTAGGGTACAGAGAGACCGGACCAGGGGGAGGGGGCCAAGGCCAGAGGCCAGGGACAGAGCCAGGCTGTCTCTGTCCGTCTCCGGCCACGCCTCCCAGCTACCTAGAGCAACTTCTCTCCTTTCTCTTTCCTCTCTCAGCTTCTCCCCGTGCCCTCCCCATTCTCCATTTGCCCCCCCCGCCCCCTTCCTCCCT